ACGATAGGGCCGCCGCCGCGGCCAAGGAACGTAATCGGCTCGAACAAGAGGAGGAGGCCAAGTGACAGAAGGAGGAACAGGACCGACTTCGTCAAGAAGAGGCAGACCTGCAGGCGGCACCCGAACACCGGTCACGCCAGCGGGAGCGACTGTTCACGCGGGAGACCGTGATCGGCGACGAGGCCGCACATTGGGTGGAAGTGACATCTGCAGACGGGGCCCCGGAGACTGAGAAAGGGCTGTCAGCCCTTGCGCAGGTCTCCCACGACCTTGTGGCCACCTGCGCTCTGCAGCAGGAGGAAATCCTTCACCTGCAGCAGACAGTGGACCAGATGCTGGCACGGCTGCAGGCGTTGGAGAAACAGCCAGCTGCTGTAGCAGCCGCAGGGCCTTCCACCCTTACCACCCGTGTGCAAGTTTTGGAGGATGACGTTAGCAACATCAAGCGTGTGCATCAGGACTTCCGAACGTCGCAGCAAGGAACAAACTTGCAGTTGGAAACGCAGGTACAGGCTGCTGCCACCGTGACGCCCGCCGCCGCATCCTCCCGACGCCCACCCAAACAGGATGACATTCCAGTTTTCTGCGATCAGTCCAAGACGGAACCGATCCCGTGGTGGCGCCAGTTTACTCTCMGGCTCGACATGCACCATGTCCCGAACAACGATCGACATACGTGCTTGTACCACCGATCTGGTGGTGCATGTCAAGCATGGCTGGACAACATCTTGACCAGCCACGGCGTAGCAGTGTCGGAACTGCACACCAAGCTCACTTGGCAGGAGTTGACTGACGCCTGGCACAAGCGATTCCAAGTGGAGCCGCCCGACCTGCAAGCGATGGACAAGCTCAACAAGCTCCATCAGAACACGCTGCTCAGTCAGGACTGGATTACCAAGTTCCAAAGACTCGCCTTCAGCGCCATTAAGCACTTGTTTATCATGCGCTCGTGTCCAGCTCTGCAAAACGTGCTGACGCAGATTGCAGAGACACTCGACATATCCGACAAGCTTTTCAGCACCGCGTCACGGATCATTCTCACGAATATCGAAGCCCGCAACGCCGGCCGATCTTCCGCGATGACGAGCGGCACAGCCCAAGCCAAAGGTGGCTTGCATTACTTCTACCGAGGCTGCAACACCAAACGATGGTGAAGTGTTGGCAGCTGCCCGGGATGGTGGCCAGCCGCGCAACAATCACGGCCGCGACAAGACGAAGACTCAGTCTACCTCTACACCGAGCACCGGATCAGCCGCCGACGAACCTTGGGCACAATACGGACTCTCGACGAATTCTTATCGCACGAGACTCAAGTACCGTTACTGCCTTTGGTGCAACAGCACCATCCACGATGTTGCACATTGCCCCACCAAGGGGAAACCCCGTCAGGGAAAGTAGGCGCCCCCGAGGGTGACTCGACACCTCTCTCGACGCCATCGGAAGCGGTTGTGCGCACGACCGCCCTTTCTTCCGAGGCATATGCGGATGTCGGGAGTCTTCHACTTTCGTTCGAAGACTTCGCTGCCCGGCTCGTTCCTTCACTGGATGCTTCTCAAGGACAAGATACATGTGCGGYTTTCTCACCGTCCGAAGGTTCTTCCGCCAGTTCGTCTTCATCAAGGGATTCGGCAAGCATGTTCAACGAGGAGGTTTTGRACCCGCTCACGCCCGAGGACTTCGCTTGGATTCCTCTCCCTACGACGGGCAACCTTCCGGGGCCGCAAAGCGCAGCCCTATGCGCCCTCTTACACGAGTATCTTTCCTTCCATGCACCACTAACTTCGCCGACGGTAAACGAAGTCGCGGTGAGGGACATGCTTAGCTACGTTGCCAGGGTGGCCCGCGAGTTTGTCTCGCAACGGTATGAAGAAAACAACGCACCGTTGCTCTACGTTCGCATTCAGATTGGGCAAGCGGCCTGCAACGCTTTGCTAGATTGCGGCGCAACTCGCAACTTCATCAGCCAGTCCTTCATGACTCGGGCTGGCCTTGGCTCACAAGTACGGAGGAAGTCACATCCGACGACGGTCGYTCTTGCCGACGGTAAGACGAAACAACTTTTAGACCGTTACATCTCGGCTGTTCCGATGTACTTTGCACCGCACGCATGTGAACCAGTCACTTTTGACGTGTTGGACACCGACTTCGATGTCATTTTGGGGATGCCTTGGCTTTCTAGCGCGGACCACACGGTCAATTTCCATCGACGCACGCTCATGATTCGTTATGCAACTGGCGCCGAGGTCCCGTGTACTATTCCTCCTCCTCGCTCTTCCATTAGGTGCCAAGTCGTGAGTGCCAAATCTTTTCGAGACACATGCCGTTCCGAGCATGTCGAAGAGATTGGCATCGCTTTGCTTCGAACCGTCCCGACGACCGATTCATCGTCCACAGAGGTGTCTTCCGACCCCCGTG